GCAGCAAGACCCTCTGTGCGAGCCTCATGACGTCGTAGTGCCTGCTCAACAAAAGGTACAGTATGACGAACACGTTCTAGTCATCGCAACAAAGTAAGGTGAGCAAGTATTAGCAACAAGTATTCTCGGATACGTACCCGCTCTAGACCTCGCGGGCCATTGATCAAGTCCAGGGTATCTGGCGAGTCCAGGTCGTACTTCGCTGTTTCCAATCCCTGGCGGAGCCGCATCTCCTCTTGATCGATGTACTCCTGAAAACGTTCCAGGAGATATCGCCGATCGGTATCCTCCACGAAGGACGCCGTGATATTCTGGACGTAATATCCGACCGTGTTGACGTATCCCTCCACCGCCTTTCCGCACAGGAGGACAGATGAGCGCAAGTCCCACATGCGAGCAAGGAGGTTCTGTATCTTGCGTCTGTACTCGGTCATCGCCACTTGCCATCCCACCGCCCAGTACGCCAGCCAGCGAAGTAAACTGGATGTGGAGGTTGGTGCCTATATGAGCATACCGAATCATTGATAAAGCCTGTGATAACGCACCTCCATCCTTTTGGTCGCGACGTGGTGAATCTGTTCACCTCCTGGACGCTGATGTACCCCGACGTGTCGTTGTCGAACGCCTCCATGAGGGATTGCAAATGCATCAGGTCAATGCACTTGACCGCCCACAGGTCTTCATCGGGGATAGGCCGCGTTGGTGTGGTTCCGCTGGCGATTGCATGCTGCTGGTCGTCTAATCGTTGGTTGTAGTAGTCGTAGATGGCAAGCACGAGATGACGAGCTTCGACGATGCCACGCCATCTCTATGTCATGTCCAATGAGCACCTGCAGTGTATACCCATGTTCGGCGTAAAGACGTACCATGTCTTTCCATATCTCGTACATATCCTAGATTCATGTCATTACAATGATGCGGATCCAGATGCGAATCGCGGACATACCTGGTCAACGATCCGTTCGTGCGGCCCTGCCAACACAGACCGGATGACTCGATCGCCTTCGTGTACCACTACCTTTTTCATCTCCTCCAGTATCTCCTTTTGCTGGATCGCGAATCTCCGCTCGAAGCGTACAAGATTCCGTTGGATCGCTATCGCCGGCTCGTCCGCCAAATCTTGCATCAACCGCGTCAGATCTGAACTCAGGCTCGCACCCTCCACCCTACCCTCCACTGCGTTCGGGGCATACGATCCGTAGACGTTGTAAGGAGTACTGTGCGGAACACTCGCCGGAGGGGGCATATATGGTGAAGCGGCCACAGGGTACGCCGTCTGCGGGCGTTCTTTTCCCTCACTGTAGTATTGCCCACTCGGTCGATAGTCATAACTGTCCCTCCGCGGTAACGCCGTTCGGACCCCGCGGCCTACAGTACGTGAATACCGAGGGGATGAGGGGCGATCCCCGAATCGCGCGCTACCCGGTACAACATACGCGCTCTGCCCAGCTGCGGGACTGGCGTACGAGGGGAATTGGGTGGACGCCGTCCCAGTCTCAAGTTGTTGTTCCTTCAGGAGTAGTTCCTGCAGTACTTCCGTCTTGCTCAGCACTGCTTCTGTACCACCACCTCGGCGGACCACTTCGGCCAGGACGAGCTGTTCCCGAGGGAGCGCCTTCTGGAAGAATTCAAGTACAACGTCCATCCTGAAAGGAGGATATGTTCAGGGATACGTTCAGGGTGATCGCAGTCAGGACAAGCGACATACTTCAACATCAACGCGTCGAGCTTGACATTCGCTCGGTCGACCTGAACGCCGGTATGGACCGAGATGCGGAAGCCGATCTCTCCTTTGCGCTCGCTGAAAAGCTGAATGTATCCCTTGAGGGTTGCATCCCAACTGGGCGCCTTGATGACCTTCGTGAGGAGCCTCTTGCGAGCGTAGGCGTCGCAGGCGTTGGCACATTCCTTGATGTCATTCGCAGTCTGTTTGACTAGATCGTCCATCCTCTCGCCAATCGAGATCCCGTCGTGTCCGACGTGATTGGGACGCACTCCTTGTAGCCTAGAGAGCTAGCAGTGTAGTCGGCTGAACGTACATCGGGTACACATGCGACTTACTGCAGTAAAGAAGACATCATATTACGCATCTCGAGGAAGAGCAGGTTAATCTTCTTGTCGTTGTCGTGCCTCTTGATCTCGAGCTCGACGACCACTTTGAATGCGCCAACGGCAACTTGGTGGACTGCGTAAGCCGGTAGCATTGAGTGTAGTCGTTGTAGTAGATACCTTGAAGAAATGGATGCAATTGCGCGAGTGCGTCAAGTGTGCGGAGAAGCGGTGGCAGGCTCTCGACGAGGGCATTCACGCCATCGAGTAAGGTGCTCCAACCGCTGCTGTTACTAGCAGTCTGACTGGCGCCATCGACAGAATCTACCAGTTCCTTCTCGGCACGATCTGGTTGTAGACTCGGATTAGCACGAGCTCAGGACGGCGGAGGTACTAATGGAGAGATAGTTCACCTATACTGCCAGGTTGACCCGGCCTGGCGGCGGAAGCGAGAGCTTGTTGTGCCTGCTGCATCGCATCCGATGTCATAGTAGGATCCTTCTTGGGTTGTTTGGGTTCGTTCATAGAGGGCGGAATACTTGTGGAGGAAGGATGAGGATGATCAGTACCACGCCCGACTGAGGGTGGGGGGCTGTCAGGTTCAGGGAGGATGTCGAGTCAAAGTATACTTATGAAGCTCAGCCAGACCGCATGCTGTACACGCCACGCCGCACCAAGAGCCCTTCTATGAGATCAGAAGAGGTCGAGGTCCCGCCAGGGGGCAGTGAGATGGACAAAGTTTGAGAGGGGATGTAGATCTGTAGATTAGACACAGCATTATCGTGGGGAGCGTTCACATATTGTTCGACCAGCGCGTGCTTGTGGCATGATGCCCGTGGTAATTCTACTATTGTTTAGCCCACGAGAGCGCTGTGAAGCATGGGAAACTTGAGATCTGAAGTCTGAGCGGAGAGGATAACCTTGCGACGAGATTGACGGGAGGTCCTGTATATCGAACGTGCATACCGAACAACCAGTTTTTGCAAGGGGGCATCAAGATGAAGCATAGATAGTATACTTTCAACGGTTCATGTACGAATTCGGATGCAACGAGGGTAAGGGAAAGTTGAGATAACATGCAGAGCCGCGAGCACAACATAAGTCGAGACAAGTATTCCGATGAGCCCGGAGACGCGAGTTGAGAGGACCATCCGTGGGAGAGTTGCAAGCAGAGTCAAACAAAGATGCGGGAAGGAGTGGCGGTGGCTAGAGGCTACGCTGAGCTCAATCATCGTCGCTTGTCTCTGACCGCAGACGGCCACCACCACCTCCTTCCCTCTCTTTGTCCTCACATTCTCTCTCGACTCCTCTTACTGTCGCCATGACCTCTCTTCTTGAGCGTATCAGTCTTCCTACGGGCGCTGCCCCCGCCGTCGGTCCCGTTCGCTCAAAGTCGAATCGTGCCGCAGCATCTTCTGGTCCATACGTGCGTCCCTTCTTCCCCTCTCCATTCATGCGCCCTCCTTCCTTAACTTCGACTCTCTACGCGCCTTCTCCAGAACCGGAACCAACGTCCGCCAAAGGCCAACGTAAACGATACATGGAAACACGACATGTTCAATGCTGAACCCCGCTCGCTCAGCGCACGACTCACCAGCGCGCCCTCATCCGCTCCCAAACTCAACCTCGGCATCGCAGACAAGGCTTTGCGCGAGGCTATTGGTGAAAAGGGTGGGCTGTCCATCAAGGGCGCGAGCTCGCGAGGGAACGTGGTCCAGGTCTCAGGTCTTGCTAGGGGCACGACGGCAGCTGACGTCGAGGTGCGTGCCATCCCTCAGACTCTTTCATATCCCCTTGCCTCACCATGGGACGCATAGGCCATCTTCAAGCGTTGTGGGGCGATCACCTCCGCTGCGCTTCACTCCAACAACCCTGAGCCTGTCGTGCGCCTCACGTACAAGAACGAGAAGGATGCTCAGGCTGCCGTCGCCAAGTTCCACGGACAGCCTGCGGATGGCCGCACTCTCGAGGTCAAGATCGTGGGCGGTGTCAATGCGACACTTTCAGGCCGCATTGGTGCTGCGCTCGTCGAAGGCAGCGTCGATGTCCTCATGAGCGGCGACGCCCCCAGCTCTGGATCGTAAGTCGCTTGTGATGTCGTGCTGTTGGATCGGTCATTCTCATTGTTCCCCGCGCATGTAGGAAGCTGCGGTCAGATGAACTATTAGGCAAGGACGCGCGGGCAACCGTTCTTGTTGCACCACCGGGCGCTGATCCCAAAGACTATGTCCAGGCCTCGACAAGGGGCCGCGCACGTCGTGGAGGACGTGGTCGTCGCCGTGGCGGCGCGGGTAGCAAGATGGATATCGACCGGTGAATGGCCACAACGTCCAATCCCAGGTCCCTCCACATAACTTTCCCTTCAACATGTGACTCCTGGGCACTGCCCGGGTTCGCAGTAATTACGCCCGAACCTCTGGACCTGAATCCCGTCCTCGACTATGAGCAGCTGTGTCTCGCTACATTAGCGACATACCCCGTCCTCCTTCATGCCAGCTCTGCGTACCTCCACTCATCCGCCCCACCATATACATTACGATACATCGACCGCCTCCCCCTCCCCAGTCCCTGCCTGCCGTTCCCGTCTCGTCTCGTCTCGTCATGTCTGCTGCTGTACCACTCCTCTCCGTATTATCACCACGTCCCATTCACCAGTTTCACTCATACTCGGTCTTATAGTATAGTCGCTCGCGCTGCCCCTGTCTCCTTCAACCGTCTCTGGTGCTGCTCTCGTATTCCTGCGTCGACTGCAATACAACGCATGTGCTTTTAGCAAACTGCTTTTTCCTGTGAAGTCAATGGCTAGCCATATATTGAACGATGGTTCAGTTATCAGCAGAGGCTTCATGAGGAAGAGAAGATTAGGTACAGGAGACCGCCGTTTTCGAAGTATCGTTTTTGTAATTCATGGTAGGCTATGTATATTGTATGGGGCGGCGGACACAAATTAAGGCGCTATAGTGTAGTGGTTATCACTTGGGATTCTGATTGTCTGATTGGTGTTCCCAAAACCCAGGTTCGAGCCCTGGTAGCGCCTCTTCCTTTTGCTATAGGCAACTACTGCCTGGGTGCTCGGCGCCCTGTGTCGCACGCATCGGTTGTACGGATAAGTCTACACTGTACAGGTTGGCTTCAACCATCATGTGTGCTAGCTACTTTTTTTGCGGCTATGCCTTCCTTGACCGCTCCAGGATGTGCTTCTACACCTGCTAATGCGCGTGCAGTTGCATAAGCCACATAGACCACACTGGCGTCATTGGAGGCAACGTTGCGCTCGAGAATCCCGCAGCAGTGGGGCGTCCCCGACCACCTGTCTGTATCGAGGTGACTTACCTTCCTTACAACATGGAGTCACTACTGCGCCGTAAGAAGTCCATCTTGGAGAACGGTACCCATTCGAGTCCTGCGAGACCGGACTGAGATAGACCACCATTGGTTTCCCTTAGCTATGTCATCTCACAACACTCAGGAACTCCAAAGTAACGGTCCGGCAGCGAGCTCAGGTCCTTTCCAAGAGACCAAGCAGGTTCTCGATACGGCTATCAAGCCGCCGGAGCCCAGTCACGCAGGTGCGGCCTCTATAATGCTCAGTTTGTACATCGGAGTACTGACGCACACTGAACAGGCCAAGCAGAGGAGAGAGTCGTGGAGACTGTCAGTGGGCTGAGCCAGGCCGTCACGGGCGACGGTGTAACGGCTACCCTGCTCGACGGTGTAAACAGTCTCGTCGAGGCTCTACCGCCCCTCCTCCGACTGCTCGACGAAGTGGCGAACATTCATCCGGTTGTGAAAAGTAAGCTCTAGCATTGAGCATGCTATCCGGCAATCATGTCGAACACGCCGATTATTCCAGTCGCTGTGGGCGCATTCAATATCATCGTAGAGCTCGAGGTCAAACGGCGTGACAACGACAGAAAGGCGAAGCTGCTCTTCTCCGAGATGCGAAAAATGATGGAGTCGCTCGTCCAGTATGTGCATCACTCCTTGACCGCGTACTTGCGACTCATACTCTTCCGCATAGTCCCACCAGGTTAAAGGATGTCGATTCCAAAGACGTCGGCACTGACGGAATGGCTATCGGGCAGAGGCTGGACGGCGTCATGAAGAAGATCGCGATAGACATCAAGGAGTGCGCGGCCGCATGCAACGCGTACTGGCAAAAGACGAAGATACCGTACTGCTGGGCTCTGCCTCTCAACTTTCCGGTCGAATAGCCCCTCTGCGGAAGGGAAAGTTGACCCGCTGTACTGTACAATAGGAAAAACTGCCGTTGTCCTACCTTGTTACATATGCCACATAACAATGCTCGTAACAAGTATAGCTATCTATACACGACACATATCGTCTAGCTAAACATGACATCCGAACTTGATAGAGGGAGCTGAACAAACAGGGGAAAGCAGTATCCTCATCGAACCATGATCCGATGGCGGCGAGGCCAACCTCGGGTTCAGACTTCTACTCTGCCCCTAGTCACTTCCTCTACATCTGCTTCAGAAACCAGGTATTCGCTATTCTGATTCTGAGTCTCCTTGGAATCCCTCGAGCTTCCACTGTCCTCCGTCATATCCGGTGTTGCAACGTCTTCCGGGCCAGGTAGGAAAGCACCAATGGGGCCGATGATCCTAAACTCAAGAGTGGTAGTGGAAGCCACAGTCCCCGTATCGCAAGCCGCTTCCGCTGCCTCGTAAAGATGGGTGAGGAAGTCGGAGATGAGGATGGCGGTGATCCTGTGGTAGCTGATCAGCAGGAAGTTGCTGCAACAGCGAAAGACGACCTACGGCTCGACGAAGATGACCAGATAGCTGAGGTTCAAGTTAGCTCCTTTATCGGCAAACACCTTGGACTGACTTCAGTCATGCAACAACGGGTGCAAAATGCTAAGTAATACTTGTAGATAATCGAACACCAGAAGGAGGGTGTTGAGGATCGAGAGTATCCTGGGTGTTCATAAACACGCTGCACAGTGCACTCGAGCAACGTCAGCTAGGAGCCTGGACTCACACAAAGTAGATAGTGCCTGCAAGACGGCTCAGTCACTGTTGCAATGGGGCAGTCGTGCGCTTACCATCGCGTAGAAGTACTGTGGCAATGGAAGAGTGGGACGACACCTTCTTGCCTATGTTGTAGGTCTGGTATTGCGTCTTCCAAGTGATGATGATCGTGATGATATCTGCAATGATAATAGGGCCACGAGAAAGCGCAGGCCCAACTAGAGATGACGTATGAGAGACGTTTTGGATGGTCATAACTTCGCGGACATACTGTTCATACGTCTGCATGAGCGAATTCATGTTGACATCTATGACTGGATAACTCACCTTCGCTGAAATGCCACCGGTATGTTATCTGACAGTGTGCAACCATCACCAGGGACCTCATGTATCGCAAGCCAATGCTCCTTGACCTGCCACAACTATGAGCCTGCAGATCGAATCAACGCATTCAGAGCTTACCGAGCTGACCACGACGGTGATGAGTGACAGTATAAGAACTATGATTGCCCAGCGTAACTTCCTCTGAAGGGCGTATGTACGCAATGCGGAGAATACTAGGAACGGTGATATCAGAACGAGGGAGTTCGCACGTGAAAGACCAAGGTCTCTGCTCACTCGCCCATGGGATGTACTGCAAAGCTTCTAGCGTGAACTGGATCCCCGTCTGTGCTGCACAGCTATCTAGGTATCAGAGGCTGGACAGCATACCACCGGTAGACCGAACAAACGCAAGGTTACATTTTCTATGAAGGGTCACTGGTTAGTAACAGAGCAGCCGAGACTCATGTAGGACGCACCTCTTTGGAGGAGAATGGACCCCATGGTGCGTTGTAGAAAGCAAACACTAGGAGGATGTAACGATTGGCCATGTAAAGAAACGTGGCGAGCGTAGTTTTGCGCTTAGTATAGTGCTTGAATTCGTCATCTAGTGTCGTGAGATAGTAATACACCAACAAAGCTGATTGGATACTTCGATAAGCCAGCGTATAGTAAAGGTTTAAAGGGCCGGCCTACCTGTTGCGGAGGTGTTGCAGTAGTTGATGATGGCGCGACTGCACAAAGTAGGATGAGAATACTATCGGGCAGGCTCAAACTGGACCTTCAAAACACTCACAGGGACGCGGCTTCCGTACTGAGTGCAGAATCCGCTGAAGTAGACATCGTAGGTGAGAAAATGGTGAGCCCTGTCCAAGTCGCCCCATTCCGATCTGCTCATATATACCTCAAGGCGGGGGCTGGAGCGTGAGGTACACACAGCCGCTGAACTTCATTTGGCGTGTCTTCTACAGATCTCACCCATCCTAGTTGGCAGTCGCGGCACCTGTGTGTCAAGATCTCGTAGAGTCTCGCCAGTGTGACCGTCGTCGCCGGGGGACCACACCGTACCGGAGAAGGAGCACACCTCATGATGCAGCTTGTAGTCGACGGCTACTCCATTCGATGAGAGCTCCGGCTTCGAGGCTAAGTCACGTATTAGTCGTACTAGAGCCAGGCAGAGTTCCTAATAAAGGCCGTGTGAGTATGGCGCGTCAATGCGGGGGACGGTTAAGATCGTATTAAGATCGAGAAGCCGGTGAACTATGACGTTCAACTTCAACGTCTCGATGTCTGCAAATCGCAGCAGGGTTGTCGGGCTTCAGCGTCCTTGGACAGATGGCTGACCTAATGGGCACGCGTAACAGCCTCCCGCGACTAAAACTGAGAGCAGAGCAAACTGGGGTATACTAGTAGGTCCACCGGTCCCAGCGCCGAGTCGTCACTGGTCGATTTGAGATGCTATGGTTTGTGAGTGAAGCAATGGTCAATCGCCAGCTTGTCTTTATGGGTACGATGAACGCGGATCATCCGAGATCGCCTGGGATTCGCGGCAATCTGTCGACAGTTGACGCACCTCATACTTGCTGGCGGCAGTGCGTCTGGCAGTTTGCGTACCTGGCGCTGATCTCCATTCAGAAGAAAACGCGTTGATACGATAGGTAGCAAGTGTGTCCTGGAGGCGAGCAGATGCCACAAGGCTCGCCGCATATGCGGTGTTAAGCGGCGCAATAGCCACAGCCTCCGTTCTGCTACTCCCCGGGCAAAAGGAAGAGGATAGACTATCCCCATCGTCAAGGGAGAAGTGCGCATTGGCATCTGTAATGCGTTCATTACCGGGCAAATCGTCTTGGCAAAGGTTGATTAGCGATATACATTGATCACGACACAAACATACCATGCGACACGAACGGCGACAAGTGCCACCAACTTCCAAGCGTAGCACTGTGAAGACCAAACCAATCTGCTCCGAGTACAGCACCGTGGTCCATAACATGCACGATACGCATCCTGAAATTGAGATGTATACCATCCAGACACGATGAGCACACGTAGTAGGGCGCTGCAGGGCGGCAGCAAACACCACCGGACATCCGATGATGACGCGAGGAACGTTCCGGTGTACCGCAAAACGGCGCCGCGGGTTAGACGTGCAAGCAGGAAAATCGGCTTTCAAGCAGAAGAATCGACCAGCCACACAACTGACAACGGCTGGCCATTATATGATGCGCTGACAACAACAGACGTGGTGGGCAAGAGTAGAACGGAAAGTGAGATGAATACAGACCAGAGACCAGGGATCATACAGTATACCGCGCGTACCGCGAGGGCGTTTCCATGAGACTAGGACCTCTCGACTCTTGAGGCTACGGCACTAGCTATAGGAGTGCTCAATTCTTGTTGGTCGGCCGTTCGCAAGGGTGTCTCGATGGCGCGGTTTGCAGTACGGTTAACTTAGCAGGCGCCAGGCTGCACCAATACCTCAAGTGGTTGATATTGGGTCTCCGACGGAATCCAAGTAAGCACAATGTGACTCAGCAAGACGAAGTAAGCTTTCTCTCTCCTTTCGGAATGTCAATAGCCTCTACGGTTTCAGCGTTGTCAGTTCGCACGTCGACTGACCAAACGCAGACCTTCAACGCTTCGCGCTTAGAGAGTTCTGTGACAGTCATAATCATGATAGTACGTCCAGTCCGTTACGAGTCATTAAGTACATGCTGTCATG